CCCACCCCAAGACCCCCACCTCCCGCCCCTCCCGATCCACCCATGCCAACCGCCCTTCTTGGCACCATCTCCACCCTCCACTTGCCCCTGTATGCGCAACGCCGTCTCCCTGTCTTTCCTCTTCATTTGGATCCCAGCTTCCTACTCTATTCACCCCTAGGTGCCCAGGCCCTCCATTGACCTTTCTTTTCGAATGATCTCTAATCTTCTGGCCTCTTAGATAATATTTTACATGTTTTTGTCTGTCTATTCCCAAATACTCCAGGCACATGTCCATGGCAGGATTCCACAACCTATACGATTCTTTCCCCCTTTGTGGGACCGCGATGAATGAAGCGAGCGCTTGAGATGAGGGAGGAAGGCCAAATGGCGCCTCCACTTCCTCATCAGTGAGCCAGCATGATGAAGACGAGAAAGAGGTGGCGGTGACGGTAGAAGGAAAGTAGTAGGACAAGCTCAGAAAAAGCGGGGAAGAGAATGGCGCCGACGATTCTTTCACGCAGATAGAGAAGGAAGCATCGAGCGGAAACGACAATGAGGGCTGCGTTGGCTCTAGATTGCACCGCTTTATGCCATCCATAGTTAAGTCAATGGATACTCGTGTTGGTAAACAGATGGGGAGGTTAAAATCTTGTAGCCAGCAGACACTCCGTATGATAAAACGAAGAGGTGGCTTTGGCCACGAAGCAGACGCCACGAACGCCCCATTCGACAGGCATGTTGTATCCCTGACACGAAGGAAAGGGTTGTGTGAGGTCAAGAAGGGAAAATTTCAGGCGAAGAAATTCCCAACGTTGCCGTAGCTTACTAGCAGCAGCCGTTGACGACTCATCGGCTCCTGTCGTGACGCCCCCTTACATAGACTTGCATCACCCGAACCGTGCATTTGATCATTCTCCATGCTTACTTGCTGCTGGTGCCTCTGCGTGGGACGCTAATTTGTTTGAATGGGAAGGTTCACGGGCGCACGGAATGCGCTTGACGTATTCTAGCCCCTCTCGATCTTAATCGGATGCGACATCAACCAGGCTTCCGTCGTCTGCGAAAATTGTAATCCTTTCCCCCTTTTCCCTTTGTTTATACAGGGAAAGAACGTGAGTAAATACATAATTTCACGATGAGCCTCTACTGCCACGCTGGCCAGGCACCTGGACCCTCCTCGTATTGTCTTCCCCTCCCTCCACCCTCC